TATACTTTTACTATAGTAATACCATTGTTAATTTTCGTAAGGGATTGTGTATAATAATATGAAATAAATGTTTTAATAGATTATGGCATCACAAGATATCAGGGAGTGAGATTTATTTGATTGTGATGTTAAGGAGGGTTACTGTAAGCCCCATCAGAAATGGGTTGTGGTGCACGGGACGGGACTAATGACAGATCATTGAAAATATTTTTTTTATATTTTTTTATGAAATCAGTTTTTTACTTATTAGAGGTACAGAACGCCACACAGCAACTTTTCGGCATTGCACCAAGAAAAAATAAATCGAAATCATCACAAAAAGTAAAGATCAAGCGCCTAACAAGGTCTCCGCACATTAATTTGAATGGTTTGTTTTCCCCCACGGCATAAACGGTTATGACGTTTTTGTGGGCGTTCCCAGCAATGCCGAACAAGTCTATAGGCATTTCCTGGGTTTCTTCTGCGAGGCGTATTTGGAGTTTCAGCGCGAGAGCGCCCTCTGGCCTTTGGATGGAGATTTACTGCTAATCACAGAACCGTGCTTCACTGAAAGATACGCATGACAATCGCAGCTTCTGTCGAATCGCGATTTCGATTCCATTTCGATTTATCGTGCAACCCTAGGTTTATGTATATGCTTTATTTTTTTTAAGATTGACTGTCTTTTTTTTCAATTATAAAATGCCAGTGTTTCCTGTCATAGCTATGCAAGGATTTGATTTCAAAAGCCGTATCAGCTATTAAATAGATTCTTGTTATGAGTTTAAATCTGTATTTAACTCTCAAAGTAAAAAAGGTGCTTAAGTCTTATTTTGTGGTGGCTGTGTTTTAAAGTTAAATTATTATAATCTTAATTCCAGTGAAGAAGAATTTTGAAAGTCTGACTGTAATTACTGTTGAGTACTATAAGGTTAAACCCTGCCTGCTTTAAATGTGTCAAAATGATTAACAGTTGAAAACATTTGTTAGAAAGTTAGAAAAGTAATCAAAAAGTGATCAAATGTAATCAGTTATGTTACTTTAATAAAGTAATTTAAATAGTTACACTACTTATTACATTTTAAATAGGGTAACTTGTAATCTGTAACCTATTACATTTCCAAAGTAACCTTCCCAACACTGCTCATGTATCATAAAGTATGCATTCACCTTTCAGAAAAGTGATTATTGTACAGTACAGTTTCTGTTTGGGGTTTATTGTAGCATGTGAAAATTCATTGCATTTATTTATGTTTTATCTCAGGTCTCTGAGAGACAAAAAAGAAATAATGTAACATTTTTGGCCGTATAAAGCGTGTTATGTTGTAATTTTGCTTAAAATCAGAAAATGTCATGCATTATGAGCCCAGTGCTTTAATTTGAAATATTTTTCACACTATTAAAATGGACTTTGGGTCTCTCGGCCACCAAACAGAGAGATGCCTGCTTGTTGTCCTACATACCATAAATACAGAATTTACCCAAAAGACACCGCTAACATAGATTTGTATGATGGTATGGTTCACAAAGCCTTGCTGCTCTTGATATAAACTTGTGATTCAAAAGCACATGGTTTGATTAATGCCAGTGTCTATTTACACTGAGTGCAAATAGCCAACCTTGTTGGCAAAAGCTATTTTCACTCATTAATTTTTTACTTTTTTTAACAAATGGAATTTTATAATTTTAATATTATTATTATTATTCTTTTAAAAATGTTACATAATTTTTTAAACATTCTAAAATATAAAATGTTTTAAAGACATCCCTTAAGCTCATCAAGACTGCATTTATGTTCAGACTGTAATATTGTGAAATATTATTACAATTTAAAAGAACTGTTTTTTATGTGAATATATGTTAAAATGTAATTTATTCCTGAATTTTCAGCATCATTACTCCAGTCTTCAGTGTCACATGATCATTCAGAAATCATTCTGATATGCTGATTTGCTGCTCTAAAACATTTCTTATTATTAATATTGTTGAAAACGGATGTGCTGATTCATATTTTTGTGTAAGAACAGCATTTATTTGAAATAGAAATGTAATGCATATTTGCTGAAATAAAAATATAGTGTTGTAGAAACTTATTTAACACCGTTTACTACCATGCTTAAATCTATTGGATTTTCTTGAAAATTAGAGTCTGCAGATCCGGTCTGGGCCCAAGTTGCTTTTCTATGCAAGCATTTGGCAAGAACATAAGTGTATTACAAATCTTTGATCAAGTTTGTCTGCGCTGTGCTTCTGTTCCTCAGCAGTCTTTCATTTAGAAACACTGTAAATGCTCTTTAAAAGCATCTTGTAATCAGTTACATACATAATTCCAGATGACCTACACACAAACCAACCTCAGCGGCACAAGCAGTTGCTCTGAATTAAGCTAAACACTGTACGGGCTGTTTCTATCAGATAAATGTGCTCTCTGAAAAAATCTTTCTGTCTGTTTATTGTGCTGTTTATGGGATGTTTGCTCCCGGCAGCTTTTCTGCATCTCTTTTTGATTAACTTTGTACCATTTTACTCCTCCAATGGGACATTGTGGGGCCGAAGAAAGAATAAACTGTTTTAGTATCTATAGAAATGCTCCTTCTTTTTCTAAAAACAATATAAAACCAAAACTGACATGTTCCTAGTGTCATATCAATTGGATTTATATGTATAAAATCAAGTGAAAGTGACGTGAGGCCAAGTATGGAGACCCATACTTGGAATTAGTGCTCTGCATTTATCCCATCCAAAGTGCACACACACAGCAGTGAACACACACACACCGTGAACACACACCCGGAGCAGTGGGCAGCCATTTTATGCTGCAGCACCCAGGGAGAAGTTGGGGGTTCTGTGTCTTGCTCAAGGGCACCTCAGTCATGGTATTGAAGGTGGGAGAGAGCGCTGTACATTCACTCCCCCCACCTACAATCCCTGCCGGTACAAGACTCGAACCCGCAACCTTTGGGTTACGAGTCCGACTCTCTAACCATTAGGCCATTAAGTTTTACACTCAAATATGAAATATTGCATAAGTAACATTGGTTATGAAAGCCATTCCATGGAGGTACAACAGCAAAGCGAAAGTACTTTGATATACAGTGTATACACCAGATATGAAGAAAAAGATAAGAAAAAATAATATTTTTATTCTAAAAAATACTTAAAGAAGTTCTAAAGTTAAAAAATGACATTAAGAAGAATTTTATTAATAAGAATGTTTCGCGAATTCAGAATTAGAAAGTGAGACAATCTTCTGTGAGACAATCTTCTGTTATTTATAAGTTAATTTAAATTAAGTTATTTTAACATTTATTTTAACTTTATTTATTTATTGTGTTTCAGTATAAAATACAAAACATACATCAGATGCTGATCTCTTTGTAGTTTGATTAAATTAAGTTTTTTTTTTTTTTTGAGTCAAAGCTGAGTTTTTAGAGTCAGGACAGTGAATTAGAGGAAAAGTGTTTGATACCAGATTTTATTCTGTCTTTTTACCATTTTCTCCTCCAATAGGATGTTGTGGGGCTGAAGAAAGAATAAACTGTTTCCATATCTCTAGAAATGCTAATGCTCTCCTTATTTGAAAGACAACATGAACTCAAATTGTTCAAAATATTCTTTCTTAATGCATGCTTCTGGGCTTATAACAGTTGGATTTAACCAGATATATAGTAGCATTATTTTTCTCTAGTTTAAACATCTAGTTTTACACTCAAATATTTAATATTTCAGAAGTTAAACTGGTTATGAATGCCATTCCATGAAATGCACCATGGTACTTTGATATATATACTGTGGTACTGTTTTTTATGTTCATATGCACAAGCATCTGTATTTTGTGAGTTCGGGCTCCATGAAAGTAAGGCAAGATTAAAACTCTCCTGTGATTCTCATAATTGAATAAAAAAGTGCCTTGAATTCCAACTTAACCGAATTGCCCCCAAAACTGATACGGTTGCTATGGAAACGGTGGAATGCACCAGTTCAGAATGACGGATTCCGAAGCATTACTGTGCACACAGGAGGCAGAGAAAACCTCTTTCATCCACACAAAGCCCAATTCAAGGGATTTCGTTTCTTTGCTTCCAGGCTTCGGGATCTGTGAGCTCCGAGGGAGGACGAAATGGACCGCAAGCCTGGAATCCGAAAGCCGAGATGGACACATGCCACGCTGGACCACATCCCATGTTGAGAAATCCCGCATGCAGGCGTGGAAGCGTGCCGGAGTCCTTCAGCTCCTCAATATCGTCCATCACTATCACTTCCAGGAAGGTCACGCACACAAACTCCAGGCCTCTGAGTCCAGTGACGAATAGCCTCGCCGATGGACGAAGAAAAGCTTTAGTGGTAAAAGTCACTGAACAGAGGACGAAAAGCACTTCCAGCCTGCCCATCGCCTCGACCTCTGGCTCTGATCGTGAAGAGATGGATCACAGCGTGGTACTGAGAATAAAGGCAACCATTGTGAAAATGACCGAACAGAGAGAGCGTTTCAGTACAGCGAAATACAGACACAGCTACACTGAAGGACTCCATAATGAATCTAAAGTCAATCCCTCACCATTAAACCAACCGTTAACTATATCTCTAGAGCCAGGAGGAAACCAGTGGAGGTCCCAGCACAGATCTAGCCTGTCTCTCTACCTCAACAACCCAAACGATAGCAGCGCAGCAGGGGAGAGCGACACCAAAACATACAAGCCACCTCGAAGGCCTCTCAGCTGCGACGCAAGCCTGTTTAACCGTACAGAACTTGGCAGTAATGCAGTTACACATCCAGCGTTTCACAACAAGAGCTCTCCTGTTCCCCAGAAGACAAATATTGACCTTGTTAGTTCCAGCAGCAGCGAAGCAGGAAGGAGCTGGGCCTCCGGTGCCGAGGACGGGAGCGCAAGGAAAGAGGGGGATCGTGAGGAACCTATTTCAGGAATCAAACCTCTCATGCTACTAAAAGCAGCAGGTACCAGCAGAACCCGTGTGGATGTTCGGCGGTAGACGCACAAGAGCACACTGTAAGCTGAGGCTGCGCAGCGCCGCTTTGATGTATAATGGATTAGTATTATCGTGTGAGAGAGCAGAGGTTTTTAATTGAGGCTTTTCACGGCAGATACGCACGGTAGCGGTGGACGGCCCTGAAACGGGAGATTTCTCCTCTGTCTCTCTCTTTCTGTCTTGCGTTTTCTCATCTTTTCATTTTCCCACGCATCTCTTTGCATGCATAATCTATTTCTACCCTGCTTTCAATACCGGTTTTTGAGCGTCCGTGGGAATTTAGAGCTGCTACACACAGAGAGAAATCTGACAGCCGCCGAAATACATACACACACATTTAACTATCCGAGGACATGCATAGATGACTACTGTTTGAAATAAAGTCACTCAGAATTACTTCAGACTAACTCGACCTCTAATAGTAAAACATTTAGAATTTTTGCATTTAAAAAAAATGCCACTTACTGCTTATACTTTACATTGATTTATAGTTTTTAGGACATTTTAAAGTAATTTCCCCCCTGAAATTTAATAATATAGAATATAATAGTATAATGTTTTCCAGATAACATTTTTTATATTTTTATTTTGTTTAAAAAATTGGCAATGTAAATATTTATTTATATTTAATTTATTGCATGTATTATATTTTATAATTGTTAAGTCCCGTCACATAGGCATCATTATGTACATTTTTAAAACCCTTCCTTTACTAAAACCCTTAATTTTTAAAGTAAGGGTTTCAAATTTAAAATATCTATCTATCTATCTATCTATCTATCTGTCTATCTATCTATGTGATCTAGAAAACATATTACTATTAATTTATTATTCTAAATTTATTTACAACCTTTTTAAAAAAAAAAAGATTGAACACAAAAACTGTACATTGCAAGAAAGGAGAGATTAACCCTTTATACAACTATATACAGATTTGTTTTTAATTTTTATTTCTATAATGTAATAGAATAGAATAGAATAAAATAGAGAATGAGTTTGTTGAAACTCCTTACTCCAGCATTTGCTGTAGCTGTCCATAGACCAAAAATATATTGTACACAAATATGTTAATGCAGACCTAAATGCATTGCAAATGCACTCTCTGCATTCTCTAGTTTAACATTGCGAGTATGTCAGTACTTTAACTAACAGTAATTTTGGCCAAGCAGAACTATACATCATTCTGCCACAAAACGTAGCATACTTGCATTACTTAAATTTCTGAATGCAACAACAAAATCCCGCTCGCATTGCTTTTTGCTACTTGTGTGCAGTGTGTTTCAGGCCTAGCCGAGACTCTGGATGATGCACAGTCTCTTTGTTCTCAGATAACTCGGCTGATCTGAGCGCAGACGCCGTCCTGGCCCTGAACGCCGTTGCGAATATCGCCAACATAAAGCTGCAGGCCCAGCAGAGACGAACTACATCCCACACAGCAACAGCAGGTACACATGATCTCTAATGACCTTTGGCTTCCTCAGACACAAACTTCACTTGAAACACACTGACATTTAGCAGGATGAGGGGATTTTATATAGACAGCAGAGAGACATTGATGTCCTTACACTCTGGTCATGTTGGTATTAGTGCATCTCACACAGTTGGAGTTTTTCTCCATTCCTCTGATACAAAACCTAGTGAGCTGTTGCTTCATGACTGAATATCGTTCCTCTTTAACAGTGTGTTTAACAGAGGATAGAGGGCAAAATGAACACAGAGAGCTCAAAGAAGAGGCTGCTGGTGCTGATGGAAAGAACAAAACATGTCCAGCAGATCAATGTGTGGATTTTGTCCCATTTGAGTCCCAAAATGACCTTTCTGAAACTGCTTTGGCTCCACTGTCACTTAGCGTGAGTTACTCTTCTCTCTTCTGTTGTTTGCAGGTACTTCTGCACCAAAATATTGAAGTTCATTGACTGGCTATCTAAATGAGGACATACAATAGATGTCTACAAATAAAACCATTTATAAATACTGTAGACCAACTTAAACCCTACCTCTAAAAGAAAATGATTTTAGAATAAAAAAGCCATTTCAGGAGGGTTTTTTTTTATTATCATTTGCAGAATTCTAAAGATGCGATTACTTTTATTATCAAAGTCATGTGTATATATATATATATATATATATATATATACTTGAGTGAAAATTTTTATTTGAATTACATTTTTTCCCAAGAGAAAGTTTTGAGAAAAGTTTTTTGAGAAAAAAAAAAATCATGTTTTCTAGGTGTTAATCTATCTTTCCTTGCAACATACAATTTGTAATTATTTAAAATTATTACAATTATTTTATAAATAAATGTATATTTAATAATACAAAATCCATATAGTATTTTAATAATGGATTTTTTACTTTAGTAAAAATGTGAATTTAATTTTTTCCCAGGAGAAAGTTTTTGCTCATCCATCTTAAACTGAGATCTGTGTATTGGATTAAATAGATAGATAGATAGAAATCATATTTTTTTTCTAGGTTTTTTTCTCTCTTTCCTTGCAACATACAATTTGTATTTTTTTTCTATTATTATCCATATAATCTTTTTTTTTCTTTTCTTTTGTAACATTTTAATTTTATTTATTTATTTTGTTTTATAGAGGAGAATATTTTTGCTTGTAGAAAATACATTTTAAACTGGTAAACCAGCTAATGACTATCTTAGACCAGCTAGAAACCTGCTATCATGATCCAAACACAGCTGTTATAATGTCTAGCAGAAATAATTGTCAAAAGATAATAAATGCCAAAGATCTCAGTGATTTTACCGATTTGTGATTTTAATGCAGCTTTGAACATCTTGATTTTGGACTTTGAACTTTGAATTGAACTGTTCTTTTGGTCCTTTAATGAAAGTGTGTGCTCTGTGTGTGCAGGAGGCTTTAGCGATCAGACGGCCTGATTTCATCCAGCGCTCACAGGCCAGAGTTCGAGCCCTGGAGAGGAGGTCGCAGGAGAGGCAGAACTCCCACAGCTCACCGCAGACACTCGAGAGCGGAGGTGTGCAGCACACGCTATCAGCATCAAGACATTCATACACGTTCAGACGCAGTCGAAATGAACAACACTTTCATGTCCTCAATATTCAGACAGACTCTGTTTATTAAATCAGCATCTGAAATGAGAGCAGGGATTGTTCAGACCACTGGAGAGAATATCAGTGGCTGTTAAAAGGCAGGAAATATCGCCCCCATCTGAATACAGTTAAAACTGCATCACTAACATTACTTGCTTTAAGTGTTTTAGCAATATTATAAAAGGCATTACTGACTCTGAATTCATTTTATGAGTCATGTTTAAAGATGTTGTAAAATTATTATTATTATTGCAAACAAAAAGATAGTTTTGTTTGCAAATAATATATATATATATATATATGTATATATATATATATACAGTATATAATGTAAACAGAAATGCAAGGGGGTAAAAATAATTTCTTCTAA